AAATCCATGCAAAGCTGCTTTACAAGGCCATGGACGAACAGGCCAGCAGCTGTAGAGCCAGCAGGTCCTTGGCAGGCAGTCATGGATGTGATGTTCTAACAGCCTGCCCATCTTTGCAGCCACCTTCAAGAAACCGACGAGAACGGGCTGAACTGAGGCCAGACTTCTTTGACTCCGCAGCTATCATTGAGGATGATTCAGTAAGCCTTCCCTCCTACTGCCTGCTGTTTATCAGAGGCTCCTTTCTTGATTACCATTGCACTTAATTAATCACTCTCTTTTAAATTGTTTTTCTAGGGATTTGGAATGCCAATGTTCTGAAGTCTGCTGAAGACATTTTACAAATTTGGAACTCTATTGTTTAGAGCTAGAGGCCTATATACTGTGATAGCTTGTATGAAAACCACATTTTTGATGTGATACGGTTTGATTTTTAACCAAATGATTGAGGTCAATCCCTTTTTGTAGTGACAGAAAGAAGAGGAGCTCCTTAATGACACAAAGGAATGTTGGCCAATCCCGTCACCTCAGAAAGGCTGACCTAGAAAATCATTTGTATCCCTTGTTCTTGACTGTCCTAATACAGATTTTTTTTTTCCTGGAGGAGGAGGAAGTTTTAAATTGTTAAGACAGCTGTCAAAATAAACACTGTTCTACATATGTTTTCTGAAAACATTGAGTGATAACAGAACTTTTTAACTTTATTTTTCTGCTGTACAATTTAAAACGGTTTTAACATTTGCCTTTTTATGTTTTAAAAGCTAGCCATTTTTATTAAACCTATGCCTATCAGCCATTGACTAGCAATGATGCTATAAGCAGGTCGTTCTGGCTACAGAAAAGTGTTTTTGAACACACTGGATTTGATTAACCTTGTGGTACGCTTATATCCTCTCGTAGGCATTGAGAAGAACACTCTCATAGAGGAGGTTAGAATTCTAATGACGTGCATCTCTGCCAAAAAAATTCAGATTCTGATATGATAAACCCAGATTTTATACTCGTGAGAAGATTTATTTTTATTTATAACGGGACATAAAGTGAGAGATGTCCATGAAGCCACTTTTCCAACAGACGCTGTGTAACATTCATTTTATATAGCACACGGGGACACAAAAGCAGTAAGTTTTCTATTGGTACTTGCTCTGTGCATTTTTAGCAACTTATACCAGCAAATAAAGTATTCTCAGTAAAACACACCAATGGTTCTCAAGTAATCACTTTGCTGTTTTTACTACCTACTTCAAGCCCTGCCAACCCGAGGTACATAAACAGCAACTTTCCTATTAAAGAAACAGTAATTCAAGGGTGGGGGAAAGGAGTCGCTGTAGCGTCCTACAAGCACTGTTACCTGTACCATACAGAACCCCCTCCCCATGCCCTCAATTCCCTTCTGCGCTATTTTTGTAAATTAATTTTGCCAGTTAGAAGTACTGTATGTGCTGCATAGAAACTTGTGCTTAGATGGTGAAGTTCTTAAGCTTACAATGGAATACAGCTACATTTTCAGTGTTAACTGTGCATATTAAGAGTAACTACTGGGGGGAAACAAAGACAATTTTTCAAAAAAGCAAAAAACATGTAAAAAAAAAAGACAAGCCCAGAACAGCCTCAGCTGAGTCATGGTAATCAGAGATTTCTCAGTCTTCAATGATTTGGAGTAGAATTATGCTTGGGTTTGATGCCTCAGCCTGGTGGCTGCTGCCAGAGCTGCTGCCCACCCACAGCCTGCACTGAGCGGCGTCTCTGGGCATCAGCCCCAAGCATTTACCTTCCTTTCTGCCTTTGAGATACAAAGCAGACCAACCCACCTGGAGCACAGCAGTTTTAGAGGTGCTTTTATTTTTTTTAAGCAACAGCAAGTAATCATGGAACTTTTCTTTTTTACGGGAGCTTATTTAAAAACAAAACAACATTGACACCCAGTGCTTATTTGCTGGGAGGGGAAAAAACAGCGAAAAAGAACCAACCAGCATTTCACACAGCTGAGGTTTGTTTGTTACGTGTGCAGCTCTCAAACAGAAACGGTTGCCAAAAATGTTGGACCAGGAGATTCAGCCATTCCTCTGCTGTCAGCTGGGTAACACATGAAGCAGGAGAAGTGGCTGGAGCTCCATAACACAGTAACATTACCTCCCTTCCTCTTCTGTCCATCCCTGTGGCGCTGGGTGGGCTGGGATGGCTGCATTAAATTGCCATTGCAGTAATTCTGTGAGCATAGAGGCACAATAATGGCTGCCTGGTTTGAGTCAGAGCCTCAGACAAACCTTGTGCTTCACAGTCCTCTGTGTGGAAAACTGATTCCTAATTTAACATTGTAGAATACTGTATAACAAACATTTATTATCACGGTACCTGCAATGGGTTTCCAGTTCAGTTTGCAGTCAATAGGTTTTTGTATTATGAGTGTCTCCTTGATTGGTTTTGCTAGTAATTCTGTAAATTGTACATTTACAATATGAGGTTTTTTTTTCCTTTTGTACAATTTAAAACTGATGCTTCACCTTTCATTTAATAAACTATTCAAAATCATGAGTACGATGAGCACCCTCTTCACTATAACTTTGTTTAAATACTGGTTTGGGCCATCACATCTTGTCATCCCATTAATTAGCAGCCAAATGAAGTACTGAGTGGTAGTTCTCATATAGTCCAGGCTTCAAAAACAATACATATCTTAACCATTCAGCCTTAGAGGAAAGGAAAATGTTATCTGATCTCTCTTCCCCCCCTCCCCTCCTTGCTTTTTTTCCCCCTTTCTCTCCTCTGTGGAGTGGCTTTGGTTGATGGTGGGGTTTTATTGTGAGATTGCAGTACATCTGGTAACTCATCACACAACTTGGGAAGTCTCACTCCTGGGAAGTTTCAGTCTTTGCCATGCTGTAAAAACTGCCAGAAAGTTGGAGAAAAAATTCACTTTCCTGTCATTTACACCTCCTATGATCTGGACCATGTGGGAAGAAAGCAGCAATAAAGGCCTGGAAGGGCAGTGAAGTTTCACAGATTCACAAACTGAAAAGCCTCGTGACGCCCCCAGCTCAGAGAAGGAGGTGCTGTTTTTCCCCAACCTGTTAATGATTTCATCTCTGCAGAGCTAAAGGACACTGCCTTGTCATCAGAGAAAGATCTGAGAGGAAAAGGAACAGGACCAAACAGGTGAGGAATGGGATAGGAGTCAAGGCCTGAAGTGCACTCTAGGTCTACTCCTCAGCCACAACCTGAACCTCCCTCCGGCTGCCTGTAAGTCACCCTTAATGCCTGACATGTCATGCTTGGCTTGCTTCTAAGTTCAAGGACTTTTGAAAGGATTCTTATTTTGTACCTATTGTTTGTGCAGGGGATGAGAATGCAAGGAGAAGCTGGAGAAGTGTGGCCAGAACAGCTTTCCAGTATGTTTCCAAAGCATTGTGATGGCAGAGCAATGAAGTACTCGGAACTCACCAGCATGTAAGAGCTGCATTCTTATACTAGCAAGAGGGGGAAGAGAGGATGGAGTCTGTATAACAGCTAATGAGGTTAGGAAACTAGAAAAACAGCTGTGCCTCCTCCTTTGTGACTTGACAATTGGGGTTCTCATTTAGCATCTCCTGCTGGCTCCGATCAGGCTAAGAAACTGCACCTGTTGCTTTACTGACACAGCTTTTGCCTCTAAACTTTGGACAGCCACTCTCATACCTTTGAAACTACTCATGGTCCTATGTGATAACTCTTGAGGTTACAGACACCTGACTACACCACTTCTCACAACTAACTGAAGAACTCAGTTCATTGCAGGGACCCCCAAACATTCACATTTCAGCTGACCTTGCCTTGTTGCAGTGTGCTCTTTCCTGGGGCAGTAGCAGCAGGCACCTGCTTATCCAGTGTATGGCTGCTGCAATACAACCACATACATTCAGACAGCTTAAACGCGTTTCCATAATCTGAATACATCACCTCTAGTCATTACGGAGCTGGGATCATAGCTGAAACAGTTTTTCTCTGCTATCTTTTAGGTCATTTTTAGTGGCTGCTTCCCCCCCTCATCCCCCCCTCCCATTTTTTTTTTTTTTTTTTTCCCTCCAGGCTCCATGGCTGAAGGCACCAGGCACCAATGTGCACCTACCCCGGATCAGTGCCTACCAGCAAAGTTGCACTCTTACCTCTTTCCTCCACTTCAGATGCCTGGGGAGTGGACAGAAGCAGCAGCAATCAGCAGGTACAGTAGTTCTTTATCTTGTAACACATTACTGCTAATTACTGAGGATACTCTCAACAGACAGGTCATCACAGGGCTTCTTGTGCTGGAAGTTATTTGCAGGAGCACTAACCATGTCAGTAACCATCACTCACCAGCTTTTGGGGCTGTAGTTTGCAGCTTCTAGTGAGGAGAGTGAGCATAGAGCCATTAGTAGTAACATCTGTTACTTGAAAGTCAGGCAAATAATTAGAGAGGAAAAAAAAGCCAGGCTGGAAGACAGGTCTGGAAGTCTCTACTTCAACCCTCTGCTGAAGGAGTTTGCTTTTTTTATGTCCTATTGGAATTTCCTTTTTTTGTTTTCCCCCCTAATCTGGGCAAATTGTCTCATCCTCCAAGAGCAGCCTGACTCCATTTATGCCACCTATGCCCCCATGGCCCATACATGACTTTGTAGCAACCAGAGACACAGCACTGCTTCAGCCAGCGTATGAAACTGCCACCTGGGTAAGCCTAGCAGAAGAACAGAGCAGGTTAATCCGAGATCTGCAAAGCTTGGAATGCAACACTCCAAAATCCAAGCCTAGGATTTTTCTTTCCCCAAGCTGTGGTGCAGGAAGCACAAGGTGCAGACCCAGGTGATGCTCACAGCACACAGTTGTGAATCTCAGCAGTGATGTCAGTCAGTGCAGCTCTGCCTAACACAGCCACCTCTACAGCCCTTGGGATGAGCAATCCAAGGAGCATTCAGCCCTAAACAACCCAGGCACTGCAGATTGTGTTGCTCATCAACCCCCAAAGAAAGGTTTATGAAGATCCTCGGTTAAACGAGGTACATGCTGTGATTTATTGATAAGCATCAGCAAAATCAAAACGAAACACTTCATTGCAGAGCACACTGCCACGTGACAGAAAGACTTGCATTCAGGTACTGCCAGGGCCGGTCCCTCCTCACGCTCACAGTGGGATATTAGCATGTTTCTTCCAGGGGTTGGTCTGGCTTTTACTTGCCAGCACATCCAGGTCATGGCAGATGCGCACGCGGGTGGTTGAAGGCTGGATGATATCATCAACAAACCCTGTGGAAACAAACCACACCAAGAGCTTCCTCTTAACCTTTTGTATCTCCGCTGCGATTTAAATTCACAAACCTAAAGAAACTCTTGGGATCAACTGTTCACAAGTTACAAATTAACTTAAGAATTTAAAATAGCCTGAAGAGAAAGTATTCCTGTGTCAAGTGTTAAAACAAGAAACTTCTATTCCCCCAAATAAATTAGCCAACCAGAAAAGATAACCGAGGGAGTGGGCTTTACTCACTGAACGCTTCCCCTGTTACTGCAAAGTCTTAGAGAGCTCATCTCATCTCTGTTATTAACTAGTTTGACTTAAAGGTTCAGAATTGTTGATTAGAAGAATCCCTTAACTTTGCATGTTCACAGGTCTTTTTTCCCTGGCTCTAACAGCAGTAACAGCAAACCAAAGGGAGCGATGCTGTACACACCAGCTGTGGTGACAAGCTTGACTAAGTCTTCCCAGCTCTGGGGCACTATTAAATAAAGCACAAAGCTTACTAATTGGGCAAAGCAGCATAACTGGAAAGATGTAGAGCTGGCAGAGCCTACAGAACTGCCTTCTGGAGCACAGGTAATGCTTCAAAGCTAGAGGTAAAAATCCTTTCATAAGAAGAGCAGAAAAATTCACACCAAGGGCTCTGGGAAAAACCACTGAACTGAGTCAGACCCTTTCTCAAGGCTACTGCTCAGCATCTAGAACCATCAAGTAGATTCCCAAAGCACCTATAATTAACAGTACGAGTTTTGAGATGCTTCCCATGATTGCAAAATTGAAAGCATGCCTTCCACTGCAGTCCCTGCACTGTTCCAGTCTCTTCCCACCCAAAGCCATTCAGATGGGCAGTTTGGTTGTCTGGTCTGGACAGTGACTTTTCTGGACACAAATTTCTTGTCCAAATAACTTACAGCAAAATGTGTACTAAATGCTTAAAAATTAACTGCCTGCACGCAATGGCAAACTCCAACCCAGGGCCACGATACACGCCATCCCCGTACCTCTCATGGCTGCCGGAAACGGGTTTGCAAATTTATCCACGTATTCTGCCTCTGCATCTGTCTCTTTTCCTCTGAAAATGATCTGCACAGCACCCTGGGAAGATAAAGCCCACATGTATTCAACCCATACAGGGCAGAGATGCCTTCTTTACCACCCCCACACACTGCATGGCACTGGGCCGATCGCTTCAGCAAAGCATCACTGGTCTTCCTCTCACTAAGCAGCCTCTGTGCCAGTGAGCAGCGATGGCTGCTGCACACAGTGCGAGTCAGCCTGCATTTATTTACCTTTGCCCCCATCACTGCCACCTCTGCAGTCGGCCAGGCATAGTTTGCATCTCCTCTTAAATGCTTTGAGCTCATCACATCGTAGGCACCGCCATAGGCCTGGAACAAAACCCCAAGGATTCGTTAATGTGGGTGACCTCACCACAGCAACAACTTAATTTCCTCTTGCCACTTCTACTGTTCCAACAAGCAGCAAGTGGAGCTACATTTCTACCTGTAGCAGTGCACACACCCTATTCAACACCTAGAATCAGACACTAAGTCTATGCAAACACACATTCAAGACATTCGCACTCGTAAAAACAATGAAGAATTGTAAAAACTTGCCTGAAGCCACCTCCTAAGTCTAAGCTTCACGAACTGGAAACCACATAAAAGCAGGAAGGGAGTTGCTGGCATATAAAACCTTCCTGAAGGCAGAAAAGAGGAGTCGGTGCCTGTCTGCAGCACCAGGCCTCTCCCTGCACGTGCATTCAAATAAACCAGCATGCTTCTGGGAGCTCCTGGCCAGGGGATGCAGCACTCAGATTCTGCAGTGCTCCACTCTGGACCTGGAAGTGGTCCAGGCAGCAATGGTAAATGAATACTGCAGACCTGCAGAGCAAGCTACAGCCAAGTGTTTCAGGGCACTACTTGAGGTGACAGCAAGGATGCAAGCTTGGGAAGAAGAGAATGGCAATATGCTGTCATGGCAAAGGAAGAGAAACCTGAGCAGCTCTTTCAGTTTCATTGCTGTCAAAAGCCTATCACAAGTGAAACAACCACCAACCAACAAAAGCACAAAACAGAACAGGAGGAACAGGAGAAAGGAGTCAGGAAAGGAAAGGAGAAAGCAGAGAGATGTTTAGCTAAGCTTTTTAGGAACTTAGAGAAGCATGGTGTCATGTATCTTACAGAAAAAAAGAAAAGGAAACCAAGGAGGGTATAGGAAAAGTACATGGAAGAAAGAAAAGCACAGAAGCATTAAAACTGTAAAGTTAACAGAAAAGAGACACAATCAGCACTGCTTCTGGAACTGGATTCTGAAGTTGCAAGAACAGAGAAGATGACAAAGATTGCCTGTTGCAGAGGGATGACACAGCCAAATGACAGAGGACAAATACTTGACTGGAGGCTTTCTAGGGAGAAAGCAAAGAGCAGAAACATGGATTTGGAGGAGCACAGAGACAAAATGAACTGTGAAAATATTTTGAGAACAGAAAAGTGGTCACTTGTAAATTGGCACAAGGAGATGTTACCAAACAGGACAAAGCGAGACGTGACCACTACAGAAGGCAGAAGTGGGGCAGACATAAGAAGTAACCAGAATGCTATTGGTGAAAATGGGAACTCATTGTATGAAATAACAGCACAGAATTAATACCAACTTACTTTTCTGGTGATTACAGTAATTTTAGGCACAGTTGCTTCTGCAAAGGCAAACAGTAGTTTTGCACCATGGCGTATGATCCCTCCGTACTCCTGAGCTGTACCTGCAAGTGGCAGAAATATTTGTCACTCTAGGAAGTTCATAATCACTCCATGTGCAATGAGGTGTCTTCATCTTGTCATTACCAGGAGCACATTACAACAACGGAGCCTTGTTAATAGCAGGAGCAGGTAACAGCCCAGGTGATGTCCTCCACTAGATGCTGAGCAACTGAATGAAAAGTATCTTGCCAAAAGCAGCAGAAGTCTGAGTGTAAGGTCACAGAAATGCAACGCTCACCAGATGGTTTCTTCATAGGAACAAAATAATATTCCATAGTTTTCAGTACTCCAAATGTGACTAGCAGTGAAACATGCAACCCGTATTCACTTCCAGAGAGCAGCACTCTTCCAAAACCCTTTCTTCTAGAGCATAAGGAAAGGCAGCTTGGCTACCACACAACAAAGACCCAAGCCCAAGACCACGGCCCTTAAAGGACAGAGCATGGAGTCTTCTATAAGGAACCTCACAGCCAGTAATTCTGGAGACTGACAGCACACAGCAAATAGGAATACAAGTCATCTGCTTTAGAGGGTCTTCTACAAAGTTCTGCCCCAGACACAGGCCTAGGTTCATAACTTGTCTAAAGATCCTATCAGAGTATTCAGCAGCTGCAAATCTCCACTGAGGCCCAGCTCTAGCAAATCATTACCTTAAAAAACAAATCTAAGCACTAACAGCCCCGGCTGTGACAGCAAGGTGAGGGAACATGGCCAGAGGAACCGATAAAAGAACTCTGGAAATGCCTTTCACAGAATCTAAGAAACCAAAGAAAAGCCTTGCATGCACAGAAAGGAGGACAGCTGATTCACCACCAAAAGACTGACAGCCAGAGGATGCGAGGCACTGCTCTGCCTCCTGTGCCCACACACCTGCACAGGAGGGCTGTGCCTCAGTGTTCCTACTTGTTTGCCACAGTGGGAAAGATGTGCCAGGTGCATTGGATGAGACATGCTCAAGGAGCAACACTTGGAAGTGGCAACCACACATTATTTCTAGCAATTCTGCATTTCAGGCCACTGTGCATGCAACTCTGCAATTACTGTCTGACAGTTCATCCATCTTACCAACAATTATTAAGTTAAAATTTGTTTTGTGAGATTTCTTAAAATTTGGTAGCTTGATTTCAAGTGTGATTTGATTGCCTCATACTGCATGCCTACACTCACAAATGTCCCTTCTTAACTGCAATTTCACTTTGGATTTCCCTGTATTTCCCTGCAGACCGTCGGACACACCAAGCCTACAGACACTTCCCAGCAGCAGACATCAGAACAGCCAGTGCTTATTGCAGGAACAGCCTGAACACAGCTGAGGTCCTCAGCCTACACCCAGGAGGTGGCAAGCAAGATCCTGCAATCCAGGCAGTGCTTTGCACTCTTAAAGCAGAGCAGGCCGTCACTGCGAGTGCTTCGACTGCAACGTCAGCCCAGCTGTTATTGGAACCATTTACAGTGCCAATTAATAGGAACTCTGGACATCAATCTGCTCCCAAATTTGTTCTGTGTTTTTATCCTTAAACGCTGTCTGCACTGAATTGTTTTGTACATCTCAATGAAGATTCTCTTACCCTACTGGACAGAGAGAAGTAGTGACCACCACACTCAGAATACATTACTTCAATTGATGTTTCTAATGGCAATGTATTAATCTTTCCAAACTCTGAAATATAACAGTTCATAATCAGTGTAAAAATCTCAAGTCTTCTTTCTTCAGCTCTACTTTTATGTCTTTCCTTTATCTGCTTCTAAGACAACACAGTAAGTTAACATTTCTAACAATCAGTGACACACAAATAGCTTTGTTCTTGGATTGTATCAGTCCACACTGCAGCCCCTGAAGCTCTAAGGAGAACCAAGCTGCTTTGTGATTCAAACAAGGGGAGAGTGCAGCAAAAACAGGAGAGAAAGGAAAGTGGTCAAGAAGGAATAGAAGGTTCTCTTAACACCTCTATTGCCTGCTGATAAAACACATAACATGTGGTAAGGCAAGAAACAGAACATTGACAGCAGCATTCTGATGTTCTGATGTCCAGTAGAGGCCCTGAGGGAAGCCTTAACAGTTTTTATACAGTGCTAACCTTATATTCCATTCTATTGGAGACTTCCTGTTCCTCACATAGGCTGTTTTCTAGTTTTCATTGTAACATTAACTGCTCATGTAACTAATGCTGAGGAAAGCCTAATCTCAAACCCTTTAACTCATGGATGTTCTTATCTGAACAGTGCTTGGAGCAGGAATGAACCTGAGCTTTCAAAGCAGAGTCTCATTATAGTAAAGGAGAAAAAAGTGACTTCCATGTCATTTATGACAAGGATATCTGCAGGGAACACGGTGTTAGTCCTGGACAGGCCACAACCACCCACTGTGCAACTGAGCCACCATCCCAAACGGCAGGGCACACAGCTTCTGGGGGCTGATGGTTTCCTACCCACACCCAGCCCTGCCCAGCTACATTCATCCCAGTGCTTCCAGCCTGACCTCAGCACCGCTGAGCTGTGAGTTGGCCTCTCCTCAGCAAAGCCCTGCAGAGCACACAGAAACAACAGCGCTGCCTTATTTAGGCACCCATTTTTCTGGAACACAATTTGCATATTTCAATATCTTATTGTGACTGCTGTACTTACTGAGTAACATTTTAAAGTCTGGCTTATTTAAGCTTCGGTACAGTAAACTGCTCTTCTTACAGTCGTTAAGATTGGGTTTAGCACCACCACCTCCCGCTGCTTCCCCACCCCACTACCAATAGGAACACAAGGACACAGCATACCTGGCAAAAACCCAGGAACGTCCACAAAAGTAATGAGAGGGATGTTGAACGCATCGCAGAAGCGAACAAAGCGGGCTCCCTTGACAGAAGAATTTATATCTAAGCACCCTGGAGGTGAGAAAACAGAGTAAGGTGTAAATGACGTGCTACGGGCAGTAATTCAAGGCAGCATCTAAGTCATGCTGTAGTTAAGCTGTACTGTCTTCTCAAAAAGAAAGACAAACAAGAAATCCTGCCTGCAGTAACGTGGAGATCATCATCTGCTGTCCCAGCACTAAGCTGACCACCAGCTGCAGTCACCTGGCACCCCTCATCCTTCTGAAGCACTGCACACAATTCCCACCTCTTCCCGCACTGACTGCTGTGCACAGACAGCTCCTGTGCCAAAAAGTCCGTGTAAATCACACCCTTGTAAATTAAATTATTTTTCTGTGATTTGCTCTTTCATTATTTTTCCCCAGTCAGTCATATTGGAACAATGGAGCTCCCCATGAAAAAACAAAGGCATTGCAAAAGACTGGTGTTCTGGGGAAAAGCTGCAAAGTATTTCTGTTCTGCATCACTGCCATTTAGAATTAGATATTGTATCAAACCTATACAAGATAAGGACACCTCAAACATTGACTATCTTCAAACTGATGATACCATCTGAAGACTAAAATAATATTACAACCCAGTGACTGCCGGGTACTGTGGTAGCCAAGCACTGGCTGGTCAGCATTCAGTCTCCTCAGAAGTTATCCAGCTATTAAGGAGAGAAATCAAAATCCCTTCTGCAGTTCAAAAAAGGTGATGTAAGCTACAGATGTTTGTATCTTCATGTCTGGATTGTGTGAGCTCCACACACTTGTACGTATGTCTGAATGCTTTGCATTTTCAGAAGAGCTGCACTACAGAACAGACTGGGGCATTCTAATGCTGTGGAAGCAAGCACGCAAGCTCCAGATTCTGCTTAATCAGTCAATCTCAGCCACTGCCAGACCACTGGTGGCCTTCTCTTGTGCTAGATACAGCAGCCCTGCAGTTACCCAAGAGCAAGACCATCGCACTGATAAAGAAATTATTTCAGGATTTCATGCAACAAAGCAACAGGCAAGTCACACAGCTGCACAACAGTGAGACTTCAGACAAACAAGGCATTAGGAAAGCAGCATGAAGCACTGGCAGGCCGCACAAACCATCCACAGTCCATCCAGCAGCCAGCCAGCCTTACACAGAGGGCAACAAGGAAACCAAACCAAGAGGAGGCAGCACATCAGAAGCACGCAGCTGTCCCCAACCTGATGCTACTTTGGGTTGGTTGCCCACTATGCCGACTGTCCTTCCGTTCATCCTGGCAAACCCCACAACGATGTTTCTGGCGTAGGACGGCATGATCTCAAAGAATTCCCTTTCGTCAACAATCTGTAAGGAGGACAGGTTGGCAGAGCCCTTAGAATGTCTGCACGCATAGTTGTACACACAGACACACAGCTGTTAGCGTGAGAAATGTTAGCAGAACTTGCAGAATAAAATAAAAAAGGAAGAAATCTTTCTGTCTTCACAGGAAGTAATTAGCACTGCATTCACTCTCAGAACGGCCAATTAGGCATCCCAGCAGATAAAACCATCTTTGTGGCATTTCCTCTGTAGTAAACCTGTTCTAACTTACCACAGAAACCCCAACCAGTTGCTAACCATTTTTATCCTCAGCACACCACTGGCAGACTGCACTTTAACAAACAGCTTCCAACACCAAAAGGCAAATCATACTCCTTGGAACCTGGGGACTTCTCACTATCTGTTTAATTCATACTTTGCTTCTTTGCAAATCCAGAGCATTTCCTCCCGAGGCCCAAATGTGCCATGCTCTGCTGGGGATGACGACTCTGTGCTGACCAGCAGTGTTGCCTGTGCACAACAGAGGGGAATGGGGAAGCACTGCTCTGCACAGCAGGAGAACACTGCGCCAAAAAGATCTCCCTGCAAACACAGACCCTCACACAAACACAAACCCTTGCAGCTGCACGTCCCTGAGCTGGAAGCCCCCATGTGTGCTCTGCAAAGTGGCATCCACCAGTACAGAAACATTCAATTCAGAGATGATCATTCCAGATGGAGCAGTAGCGACACCTACACACGGCTGCATTTCTGCTCTTCTCCTGCTGTGTTCTACCCTTACTGCCTTCTTTGCAGCTCTTGATGGCAACTTCTCCTACACACACCACAGACTGCCTGTCCCTTCCGATGCATGAAAAGTTTCAATTATTTATTATTTAAGCAGTTTTATTTCCTTACTTAATTCTCCTCAAAGCCTGTGGGTGTGGGTTTTTTTCCTAATTCACTTCAGAATTTTTAAACCTCACTTTCTGAGGCAGAACACAGAGCAGGGACATTCAGAAGAGAAGAACCTGAAGATTAAAAACCCATTCTGAGCTTTTCTTAACCCACCAAAATGGATCTGAACGCAGCCAGTTGCACACTGAAAAGTATCAGCTGAATGCTTGCGTGTGGGGAGAGACAGTCAGATAAAACTGCAGAGGGAAAAGTCTGGAAGGATGCCATGAGCTCAGCCCTGCTCCCCCCAGCCACCATTTGTACTCACTGCCTACGAGGCTGCTCTTCCCAGGTCTGTCATCTACCACAGGATCCTGGGCCAACCTGGGAACCTGAACATTCAGAACTGGGACCCCCAGGTGCTCTGCAGGGCTGTCACAGTTACACATAACAGAACTGGGTTTTGTTGGATTTTTTGGATTTGTTTTTGTTTCGTTTTTTACAACCCTGTTCTCTGCACAGCTGTTTTCAATGTATTAAGTCGTTAAAACTGACAAAAAATGAATTAGGCAAAGCTGGGCAAGAGAATTCCCAACAATGCCCACACTGCTTCAGTAAAATTCCACTAGATTTATACAGCAGTGCTCTCATCTGTACAGCTGTGCATGCTGTTGGATCGATACTGAAGACAAGCACTGAGACCCTTTCCCCCCACAAACATCTCGCTTCTGCCATTGCTGCTGTCTCTTCATGCATGACTGCTGAACAGGGGAAAAAACAGTAACCTGCAAAGACTGAAGAACAGATCTGAAATGGCACCATCTTGGTTTCCTTCCATGACTAACAGCTACATACACACGCAATACGATATGTGCACATTCTCCTCAGCAGGGCTCAGACCGGCAGACTTACGGAGCGGATGATATCCAGCATATCGTAGGCTTTGGTGGATTCCATGGGGACAATTGTGTCCAGCTCAGGAACCAAACGGTCACTGCAGAAAACAAATCCAAGCAATAACATTCACAGATCAGATGAACGCCAAGACCAAAAGCTCAGGCAAACAGCACCAATGCCATCTCTCCAGAACGTGGTGGGGACTGCTACTCAAACACAGGAAAAAGCAGTCCTCTTTGCAGCACAGTTATGCTTTGGGCCACTGAGGGCTCACCCATGGCTTACCTGTTGCTCTGAGCTCCTCCATGAACGAGACATCTCTTATAGAGATGTATTTTTGTCTACAAGATCATTGCCTGGAAACACCTCTCCTCCTCTGGCTAGAGGGGCCCATAAAACAGGGGACTGCACAAGGGCACTGGAAAGGACCCAAATGCTCCTGCGCTGGAGCACAGCTCAGCAATGGGGAAATTGGTAGCGCTAAGCACAGTGCAGAAGCACAACAGTCCACCACTGCAGTGCTTACAAAGAGGTGAAGTGGCCTCTCCAATGGCAGAGCAAGGCTTCTCATTTACAACTCTGATGCTGCCTCTGCCCACACCGTATGCTTGTGATCTGAATAAACCTCTGGGAACCTCTCCATACTTCCATACTTCTCACCCCTACCAAGCAGATAAAGACTTGTAGGAGGGTAGAACATCCATTCACAGCTTCTTCAGTTTAAGCACTGGGTTTGAAGTATCTCTGGGTATCTCATCATCTCTGCACTTCAAGAGCTTGACGTTTAACTCCCTGTTAGCAGCTCACCTATCAGTTACCCATCTTCAATAGTTTCATTAACGACTTACATGTGCTGGCATTCATGGGGTCATTCACAGTCCCAAGGTGGGGGGGCTGCATGTATGTCAGTTGCTGAGAGTCACAACTGTACTTTTCTATGTTTTAACAATGCCGTGGCTTTGTACCTTTAGAACAGTACAACATTAGGCTCTAGAAGTTCAATTTAAAACTGGAAACATGATCTGCAATTTGTCAATCTCAGGCAAAGAGTAGGAACATCAGCCCCACTGCTGCTCTGACTCACCTGCAGTGGACCAACAGACACCTCCCTGCTGAGAGCCACAGCAGGGCTTCCAGGGTATTCCCACAGTTAAGAGAATTGCATGCATATATATTCAAACGATATAATTAAGTCGCATTCAATGTTCAGTTACAATGGACTCAGAAACTTTTACTTTCCCAGAAAGTAACTATGAATATGCTTTAAAAATCTTCCTGTTACCTCCAGATTGTATTCTGAGATATCCCAAAGGATAAGGAAAATGGAAAAATGAAGGCATTGCTCCCATAAATTCACAGAGCTGTAAGGCAGAGATGGAAATCGTAACGGCATTAAAATGAACAACCACTGGCAAACAAAGACAGTACCCAGAACATCTCAGGGACAAGAATCTCAAACTGTCAGAGATAAAGGACATCTGGAGCTTGCCAGTGGAGTCCCGGGACTCAGGCTGAGAATCTCACTTATCTGTTGGAAATCCCATTATCTGAAAAGATTTGCTGCTCATCATCAAGGCAGTCAGCTGAAGCCTGCGACAGCCCGAGAAACTCACCCAGGTCAACAGTGGATTCCATTAAGTGCGAAATGGACCTGTGTGAGGTTCCCAGGAATGGCTCCTCAGAAGAAACAGAACTGGTTTACAAAACCAAATCACATCACACAAATGGGACAGACCAGATGCTCCTCAAAGACAGAGCACAATCACCATAGGAACTTTCTAATTTTCTTATGGAATCCAAAACAAAAGAAACAACTGTAACCAACTGGGGTTTCAGCTACCAAACCTGATGTCATCAGCACCACAAAGAACCTGTCTGCAGGGGGAAAGAAACCAACGTGGTGGGAGTTAGCAATGAAGATGAAAGGATGTAGTGCTTCATTTACATCATTAGAAGCAGTTTCTCCTGGCATGAAAATGGTCCAGTGAGAAAGAAAAGGGAGGAGCGGGCTGCAACTGCAGCAGCAGCAAGAACCAACCCATCAGTTCAAGGCAGCATGTGCAGATGAAGCATCACCAATATTAAGTATTAGGACCACACAATTTGATCTATACTGGAGATATCACTATTCACACAGGGAAATTTATCTTCACACGTAGAAAAACAACTGAATTGAAGTTCTCAACACAAATCACTGAGCATTTACTATACTGTGATCCTCTATTAGTATACCTGACACTGCATTAAATATCTGCCATAACACAGAACTGATCAATCTCCCAGCCATGGGATAACTGACAGCTTCTCCCAGATAAATAAAGTGCCCAATGTAAGATACACTGATTACAGAACAGACTGTTGTTTCCATAAATGAAATTAAAGTATCAGCCTATTTCAGTACAACATGCTGAATGCTTAGAAAGAAAGTGCCCACCTCAGCAACAGTGCTCCATGTTCACCCAGCAATACTGGGTCTGTCACTATAAGAACAGTCTTCCAGCTTAGCAATTGCATGAGATGAACACGGCAGGAAATGTTAGGACCAGTAACTGATCTGCTTGTCTGACCATCCCCTTCACAGCAGTTAGCACACTTATTTCTCTTAACAATGTATTTCATTTCCCACAGCAGTGATTTGTAACACTGATACAAAAAAAAAACTGCTTCAAAGATGTTACAACACAGAGCATACAGACAGAGCCATTACAAGACAGAGGCCTAAAGAGAGGACAACTTCCCCAATACCCATGTCAAAATCTTCAAGTGTGCAAGAAACCCCAAGATATAAACCATGGGCATCTGCAGAATGGAAAGGATGAACAAAGATAGGAGCAGATGTCATACAGGAGAGGATGGAGACCTTTTAGGGGATGTGCACAGGAAGGGCTGCAGTCAGATCTTTGGTTAAACAGCTTTTATTCCACTGACATTCTGTCTGTCCTGCTACTAGCAAGGCTGCCTACTGAACCTGTGCTGCGCTGACTCCCAGGCTGTCCCTCCATCTCTTGGCATTTTTTGCCATTTTCCTGTTTTCCAGTCTTGAAGTGATGAGTCCTTCCTTTGTTGTCAGCTACACAACAAACCTTACAGACAGCTGCCTAATGCCTCCTGTACCTCATCATCCCATCCCAACCTCTGCGTTTGGTGACCAAAGCTTACCCAACAGACACATCACTGACAGAGCAGGGCAGGATCTCCCCACTGCACCTTACTGTGCTGTCTTCTGCCTCACTGTGCCTGCCTGAAGAGCTGTGAACTGGACAGAGATTACTTCCCCCATATCCTGTACACAGCACAAATTTAATTTTAAGAATTAATGTTAACAGTGAGCATGTCTGTTATGCACACACACACACACACACACCTGAACACTTCCCACGTTCCCACAGTGTACCACAATTATCACAACACATTTGTGCCCGTCGAGCCAGAGAAGCCATGAAATGGTCAGACAGCACAGAGCTCAGCCAGCCTCCTCTCACCTGGGATCGTGGCACTCACACACTGGAGCCGGGTCACGGTTGCTAAGAGGTAAATAATTAAAGAACTCTCGGAGGTTAAGCAAGGCATCTACGTCGTTCTCAAAGGCCCTGTGTGCCACTCCTGGAAAGAAGCAGTTATTGAAATTACTTTGCAGTGTTTCTTTTTCAAGTATGTATCCATAAAGACAAGGAAAAACAGCACGATGCTTTAAACTTAAGCTACTGACAATTGGGCATTTTAAGCAATCAGATCTGACCAGTTAAAAGTACCTAGAAAATGTGTGGCTGTATCAGTCTTCTTCCAGAAGAGCTCTGGATTGTTCATTTTGTATTTAAAACTGTGTGAACTGGTTTATCAGCTGTCACACATTGAACTGGATCCCAGCCTTGTGCAATGCAAGCCAAACGAAAAGAACATTTCTAGGCAAACAAAGGATTGCCAAGAATCCTTCAACCCATGCACATTTCTGGGGAAAAACACACAAAAACCATCATCCCAAACCTTCCTTGGGAGCTCTGCTCTCCTACAGCCCTTCCACTTGTATAATTGTTTGTGGATTTGCTGCTTTCTCCTCAAAATCTCAGAACTCTGCCACACTCCCACTTTTCCTGCTTCGTCTTCCACCACTAAGAGGGATTGGTTTGAGCCCTGCACACTGCAGCATCCTGTGCTCCAGCAGTTTCATCCTTTCACCTCAGGTGACAGCCATGCCCACAGGAATCAGTACGAGGTTCACAGCAGCTCCAACAGCCCCACCACTTCTGTTAAAGTTAAGATCAGAGCATGAAGTAAAACTTCCCAGCTCTCACCAGACACAGCCGTGTGCGTCTTCGCTCCCCCGAGCTGCTCCTGAGTGACATCTTCATTGGTAACAGACTTGACTACATCTGGGCCAGTGATGAACAGATAGGACGTATCCTAGGGGAGAGAATAAAGGAAAGCCAGTGTGTAAATGCCAGAGCCAAGCTGCAAAAGCAGCAAAGGAAAGCTGCCGTCCTGAGAGACTTTCCTCAAAATAGGAAAACTGTTCAACATTGCAAAAAATTCCCTAAAAAAAAAAAAAAATCCCTGATACATTATACTAAAATCCACAGAAAATACAGCTACCTACAGGTCTCTTTGGAAATTTGTTCTTGATTTCCCATGAAGAATAAACTGAATTCAATTTCATTTAACCCAGTCTCAACTCAGAGGTGTATTCTGCAGTTTCTGCACATCTTTTATCTTCCAGTTCTGTACCAATCTCTACAGACAGTAATAGCTTATACAGAAAAATAACCTGAGACAGAAATCATGAGGTAAAGACAACAGTTATTTCTTAGGACAAAAAGAAAAGACCCATAAATGCTAAGAGACCCAAAGGAAGATGGACGAAGGACTTTTTTGCTGAGTACCCATAGAACTTAGAACAACTGGAACACAGAATGACTCTATGATTCCAAATTTAAAGTGAATGAAAAAGAATAACTCTGGGTCTAACAGTTCAAATATTAGCATGAAATGCAAAAAAAAACCCAAAAACATGAAGGGGTGAAATGTTTGTCCCACTCCACCAACGTACATTGATTTCAGATGTTAAAAAACTCATTAACAAAAATCCTTCTGAAGCTCCTCACAGTCATAACCAACTCCTTTTCTACAAACCACCTGAGACAGCCTTTTTCATCGTGTCCTGTCTGTGCCCTGAGCAGTAATCACCACAACCCACCTGCAATCCATACCTGCCAGCAGCACAACCAACCACCAGCAGTTTGTCGTTTGAAAATATATTAAGCACTCCTGTATTAAATGCTTCAGACCTACTTTATTTAGAACTGAAGCTTAAACAAAAGCGCTTTTTAACAAGAGATTAATCATATCTTCATCTATCCAATGTGCAAAACAATGGCACAGCACTAATTCAGCGCTGCCATCCGTGCCATTAACAGCTGGTCATGTCACAATGGTATTAATGATATTTCTGCAGCAGTTTCCAGGCCTTTAGTGAAGCAGGAGCCCACCAAACAAATCCTGACACGGGGTCTGACTGTGACTGACCCCATTTACCAGCAGCACAGCAGGATCTGCTCCACCCTTACCTTCACCATGAACGTGAAGTCAGTCAAAGCAGGAGAATACACAGCTCCACCAGCACAGGGCCCCATGATGAGCGAGATCTGAGGCACCAGCCCAGAACACAGAACATTTCTCTGCAACAGAAATCACAAAGACATGAAGTCTAAATGACAGAAGTAAATTAAGCGCGCTTACTTCTCCAAACTGAACTGCCCCCACATTCACCTGCCTTAATTAGAGAGAAGGGGATATCACACCTCATACTGAGAGCAAACCCACCGCACGATGCTGACAGGAAATGTCTAAGCAAAGAATTCACTTGTCACATTTTCCAAGTGGCAACAAATTTGATCTCTCTGTGCATCACTGCCAGCCTGCTTTGAAGTAAAAAGGTCCACAGGAATCAGAAACCGCATACAGCAGTGGTCAGCAGCAACACCAGGAATGCTGCCTCTGTGTAAACCAAAGATTTGAGCCTTAACTGGAGCTCAGCAACACACTTCAAGCATCAGTGAACCTATCATTTCTGCACCTCGCAATTCTCTGAAGTATTGAAACTTATCAGAAATGGAGGCCCATGCAAGGCATTTCCAAACAAGACTGCCAGCTTCTGATGGCTACACATGGAGCTCACACCCTGTTTTAGGCCCCAGTACAAGTCTGACAAACTGGGACACACTGGAAGATGCCCCCACGATAGTCATGGGACTCAAGCAGTCAGCAGGCAGCAAGAGGCCGTGGGAATGGGGGCTGCTGAGCACAGAGAAGAGAAGCCAGAGGGAGAACTTGCTGCTACCTTTATATCCTATGTATCTTTTATATATCCTTTATATACCTATATATCTTTACTGATGACCTAGATGAGGGGATTGAGCATACCCTCAGTAAGTTTGCAGAAGGCACCAAGCTGGGAGGTGGTGTTGATCTGCCTGATGGTAGGGAGGCCCTTCAGAGGGATCTGGATAAGCTGGATTGCTGGGCTGAATGGGATGAGGTCCAACAACGCTGAGTGTCAGGTTCTGCACTTTGGCCACAACAACCCCATGCAGCATTATGGGTTTGGGGATGAGTGGCTGGATGAGTGTGAAGAGAAAAGGGACCTGGGGGTTTTGGTTGGCGCTCCGCTGAACACGAGCCCACAGTGTGCCCAGGTGGCCAAGAGGGCCAACAGCATCCTGGCCTGCGTTAGAAATGGTGTGGCCAGCAGGAGCAGGGAGGTGATCATCCCCCTGTACTCAGCTCTGGTGAGGCCGCACCTTCAATACTGTGTTCATTTTTGGGTCCCTCCCTACAAAAAGGACATTGAGGCCCTGGAACGTGTCCAGAAAAGGGCAACAAAACCGGTGAGGGGTCTGGAGCACAAGTCTTATGAGGAGTGGCTGAGGGAGCTGGGATGGTTCAGTGTGGAGAAGAGGAGGCTCAGGGGAGACCTCACTGCACTCTGCAACTTCCTGAAGGGAGGCTGTGATGAGGAGGGGTTTGGCCTCTTCTCCCAGGCAAGGAACAGGACCCGGGGAAATGGCCACAAGTTGTACCAGAGGAGGTTTAGATTAGACATGAGGAAGAACTTTTTCCTCAGAGTGGTCAGGCATGGAATGGCTGCACAGGGAGGTGGTGGAGCCACCATCCAGTGTTCAGGAGGCATCTGGATGAGGAGCTGTGAGATGTGGTTCAGTGCTTGTGGTGGCAATGGTGATGGGAGGTTGGACTGGATGATCTTATAGGTTGTTTCCAACCCTGTGATTCTATGATACCCGCAGATGTGCTGGGGGACTTCTGTGGAAAAACATGATACTCTCCTGGGAAATGCACAAGGAAAGGATGAGAACCAAGTGGTACAAATCACAGCAAGAGATAACTGAAAAAAAAAGTCACCATGAGAACAGTTCAGCAAAGCTGCCAAGTGTCTGTCCCTAGAGACATTCATAACGTGGCTAGACGAGATGAAGCAACCTGGTTTGTTGTTAAAAATCAGCCCTGGCTTAGAACATTGGTCTGTACACCCCCAGATGACTCTCTGGACTGGAATTATCCTGTAATTCTATTCTAAATGAGCAAAGCTGATAGTTGACCATGGTCTGCCATTTATTAAGGCAACAGAAAAACAAGATAGCACATGCTTGTGAAAAAGAAAGAACTGAAAGCAGAATGAACTTTGTCCTTTGGGTTAACAGCACAAACATCAGATGGCATCGCAGTGACTCAAGCAGCTGCCAGCATGTTAAAAACCACCAACCAAAAAGCCAGAAATGCACACAAACTAAAGCAAAAAGAAAACTGTCAGTAAGACATCTGATGACCCTTGGAATCTTTTCGTCATTTGTTTTCAAAATAGCTCTAAGAGGTGTTTATGATTACTACTTTTCCTATCATTTATAATAAATGCTATTTCTCATATCTACAGAAAGTACAAATCATCCTTTAAAACAATGCATGTTGGTAGGCATATAAAATAATGTCATTTTAGGGAAAAAAAGATCAATGCTGTGTGCTTTAGCCACAAAGATACTGCGTAACATAAAACTTCCACCAGTCCAATCAGTCCTGCAGTCCTCAAGTGGTAACATCAACAAGTTCCACTGTATTCAGAACTGTTCTTTGCACAGAAACCTCTTGCATTTTTTTTCCTCCCCTCATCAACCACCTTGATATAACACCTGGTGCTTCTGCTGCACATTCTCAAGTTACCCTCAAGCACAGGTTGATGGGTTTACTTAAAGTCCCTTTTTCTGCTGCAGAAAAGTTTCACCATTTATCAGCCCCACAGAAAGCAAGCCTGCTCTGTGAAATTCTTAACAGGCCTGTATTTCTGAGCAGCCACAGAGACAGCTAGTGGTGTGTCACAGCCATCAGACACCTACAAAACACTCCACAGCACAGCATGCCCACTTGTCTCAGACAAACACATACACACTTTGAAAGAAGTTACATCCCAACACACACAAGCTGTAACTCAGTGTGAATCAACATTATTCACTAAAATAACTAAAAATATTTATAGGTGTTTCCTAATTAAGTAAATTGCTTAATTTTCTATTCTTCTGACAAAGCCCACGTTGCAGTGCAGCTCCTGCAGGGCTTTTCACCAGATCACAGCGTTGGACAACGTTCACTCAAGCAGCAGGGCACTCACCAAGAAGATGTCTGCATAGCCAGCCAGCGACTCCACCCCTTCCTGAATGCGGGCTCCCCCCGAGTCATTGAGCCCAATGACAGGGGCTCCAACCATGGCAGCCTGATCCATGACCTGGTGATGAACACAGACACTTGGTTACCTGCAACACCAGGATGGCCCTTCCCTATCAAACTGTGCATCCCCCAGAAAGAAAATCACGCAACAAACTTTAACTGCTTACACGGCGCTTCGCATCTCGCTTGCTTGCATTAATTACAATCATTAACAGCTTACTGACATACTGCATTTTGACTCTGTAGCAATGGGAGAGATCAAAATACGATGGGAAAGACATTACAACAAAGGTGTGAGGGCAGAAGGAGCAGCACAATAAAAAGGTGCTATAAAGGAAGGGCAGAAGATTGCTCACCCGTATCAGAAGATTCCAGGTTTGCAGGGGAAAGCTCCACCAAGGAGGGATCTCCAACCACAGACCCTTCCCCAGTGGCAGCCAGCCCTTAAATGAGGTCTAGGAGAGGTGCAGCCAGGCTCCACTCCTTCCAGTCACACAGCTGCATTGCCTCCACCTGTGCTCCCATGGCTGACCAGTCCTTCCCCAGGTGTTCAACCGGTGCTTGGGGCCAGGACTCAACAGTTCCCATAGAGCCTCACTCAGACTGGAGGCTGAAAGGCACACATTTAACCCCTCTCGCGTCCTTCACTGCCTTACCAGCTGTGCATCTCCATACCCACACTGTACCACCAAACCCTTTGCTACAATGACACAAGCAGAGGGGTTTGGCATTTTCCTGGCATTACAGCACTGGTATATAGTAACAAGATCTGCCTTGGTTCTTCAGTCATTTTCCTGTAGAACTGCACATGGTCTGTCAGTCTCTAGTTTGATATTTTTTCCTGCCCTCGCAATCATTTTTACCCAATTACATCCAATCTTTAACTTTTTAAGATTTCTAAATCTTCAGCCCTGTCTTTCAAAGTGCTAACAGCCATCAACAATAGCAAGCAAGTTTTTATTGCCTGGAAAACCAGAAAGGACATTAAAACATTCATACCAACAAACCCTAGCAGTACCAAAACTGCAGCCTGAACACGGGTTGCTGATAACTGTCTCTGTGTAGCTCTCAGCTGGCATCACTCCTACTTGCAGTCACTGCACGTAAAATAGGGATCCTTCAAACTTTGTGCCTGGACGTTCATTTAACAGTTGGATCACCGCCGTGGCAGACATGGAGAATGATTCTGCAATCAAATACAGTCCAGCACTTTAAAAGCATCCGTGTGGGCTGCAAGCAGAGGCTCCACGAGCAGCCTTGTTTGCTTACAGGGATGTTACGCACGGCGTGATCAAATGTCTTATTAGAAACCAGTTGACATCCATTGCCTTCCCAGGAAGCCTGTTATCCTACCAGGTCAGTGAAACAAGTTCACTGACACACTTTGCTATTTCCCAAGGACACACATGCATTCATTTTTCACTTCCATGATTTTTCCAGATACTGAAATTCTTCACACCAGCATACACATTTAATACACATTTAGACTACTCGTGTTTGAGGCTTTATTTTTTGCCATACCAGTACATACAGCTCTTCTGCAAAAGGAGTCTGCCACCTGTAGCCCAGACCTACCTACCCTGCAAACGCCAAATACCTGAACTCCAGGAAAAGATATGCAGAACAGTGACAGCCAAAGGCAAAGTCCTGCTGAGGGGCAGCAACTTCACTTCATTTTACGTGCCTCAAGCAATTCATAGGGTCTGCAGCAGCCAAGACTGTCTCCCAGAGCAGATTTCTGCTTCTCAGAACTCAGCTCACTAAGAACTAAAAGAAGTGACACAGATACCACACCATGCAGCTCTACACTGCCAAGCTGCAGCCTCACAGACTGAGCAACTGATGCACACAGAGCCTTCAAACTCCAAGGCCTACCACTGGTGCTGATGGCAAACATAGTATCAGTTAGGAAGGACTCGTGTCTTCCAGTCCTGCTAGCACTCCCTGAAGTTTCAGAAGTACCAGATCACAAACAAAACAGCAGAAGGCATCCCAGTAGCATCACATTACTCCCATCACAAAGAAACATTTCAGAGCTCTGATGTAAAAGGGCAATACAAACACCTTTGCTGATATCAAGAGCTGGTAAAGCCCAGTAGTTATTACTCAGCCCAAAGTCTTTCTGTCTTCTACTTTTATATCTCCTCACTGCACAGGAGGTTGTGCCAAAAAATAGTTATTTCCAGCAGGAGAAAAGGCCTCGAGCTCCATACACCTTGTTCCCAGTTCCATAGCAAAAAAAAAAAGTAGAAGTTTTCATCAGCCCATGCCACTGAATATTCATGCATGAAACAGCTGCTGCCCTCCACACCCCTGGGATTCCAACACCAGCTTTTTCAGTGAGACAGGAGGGCAAATGAGGACCAACAGCCACACGTGGCTGATAACAGAAGCTCGGCATCAAGGTGACCTCCACGTTGTCTGTCTTCAGATTGTTTACTTGTTACATTTCTTTTCATAAATACTACATTTCCACACAACATAACTCCCAAGTCATTCCATATTTCTACTGCAGACAGTGGCCAGTTAACCCATGCTCATAGTTGTATGTCTCTCTGGCTTTTTGCACACAACAGGAAAATCAACTTCGAGCTGACATTACTTACAACAGCTTCAAGAGCTCCCAGAGGACGCCCCTCTGCTCCTCTGTGCCCCCAGCCCTTACCAAATTGTGAGGACACAGGCACTTTGAGACTGCCAGCAACATCCACCACAGCCCACTAAAGTCACTACAAAGCATTTCCTCCAAAATTATTAGCACAACAGACTGGAAAAAGAAAACCGGCCATTTTTTGTAGCTGTTCTCTATTGCGAAATATTACCTTGCAGATCTTCTGGGCGTGAGCTCCAGACAAACTGCCTCCAAATACAGTAAAATCCTGGAAACAAAACAAATTCTGAGATTATGGAAAGAATCTTTTCAATAACAAGCAGCCAAACAAATCCCAATAACTGACCTTAATGAAAAACGTGTCAAGTAAACAGTATAATCCTGCACTGCTCTACATTTAGCACACTGCTCCAAGGCAACATGACTCTGTAAGCAGCCTGCAGACCAATCGTGGTCAATCCAACCTTGTTTACAAGTAAAAAGATCTTTTATGCATTTCCCAGTAGATTCTATGTTCAAATCACAAACTCACTGTGTCTCATTTGCTTTTATTATTCTTCAAACACTCTTCTTCCACAAATACATGTTACTCTTTCAGAGATGCTACCAATACTGGAGTAAGCCTGAGAAATGTCACTGTAAGTAGACTCCTACTGCAAAGGGTGGCAGTAGGATAAAGCTGCAAACAGGCAGAAATCACAAATGAAAGCATGCCCTTGTTCTATATTCATGAGTTATGCTGCCAGAGTTTATTATTTTTTTGTGGGGGCTGCAGCAACGATGCCAGCCAAAATGGACAGCTGGTGTTTCCTCTGGGACTGTGCTGTGAGATTCTGAAAGAGCAAGAAGGAGCCCTGGGGCTGATCCAGAAGGGACAAGGGATGGTGATACCTGGCACCCAGGGTTAACTTCTGGTCAGCTTCACTGATGCACTCCCCCTGAATTTTACTCTCAAAGAAACCCTAAAAACTCAGTGGGCAGCAAACATCACGATTAGTAGCTGAAGCAAAAAGGAAGTGACATCTCAAGTGGCAGCTGAATTTGGAGATGCATAAAGTCTTTCTAAAAAATAATTCTTTTAAAAACAGCACACGATGAAGGGACACATTGAAACCCTTACAAGAACTGCCCTCTACCTGTGTTATTTGAACAAAGAAACTCTGGCTCCTCTTCAAGCCCACATAACAAGAGTGCCCTCCCCTGGAAGAACGACACACCAGGACAAAACAGGCACAGCATATGCCTCAGTGCAAGCAAGATGGCAACAACCACTCCAGCCATGGAAGCAACCTGAACAAAGGCTACTTGGTAACCCAGCACAGACAGGCAGATATCAACAACTCAGAAGAATGCTCTTCTTCCACTGTGCTAAGACTTGTCCAAGATAAACTCCACCTATGGTGTTTCCTCTAAAACACACAATTTATCTATTTATATACTATCTGTCAGTCTCTTTACTAACCTGAAGAACAGCTCAGGGTTGCTCAGGTGCCCTTTACCACGAATTCAACCCAATGCAATTCCAGCCGGTACCTCCAGCAGGCAGCACCAGACCTGCACCTTCCAAGTGGGAAGGCGGTTCCCCGGGCTCACAAAGCACTCTGCTGACATTTGCAGGACTGCCCACGGCTGCAGGAGTCCAATCACAACACCTCCAGCTGCAGGCACAGCCAGAGCTCTCAGTACTTGCAACACGTTGTGCTCAGAGACCTCTCCATCTCCAAATAAGGTACCGAATAAGTGCTGCATTCATCGCTTACTTCATCCCAATCTTACCTACAACTGCAAATCTCACTAAAAAAAAACGGTCTGGGAAAGATTTCTTCTGCCTCTTCTTGTCTCATGCACTGCTTCCTCCCACAGGATGTTATGTTTATCTTATGTTTAATGGCAGGTGGTAAACAGGTACGTTACTACATGGTCACAGTGAAATGCAGCGTATTTATTTCAAAGGATAAGTTCATCTTACTTACAAAAACAAAAAACAGAAACATACCTGACTGAAAACATAAGCCAGGCGACCATTAATCCGTCCACGGCCAGTCACCACACTGTCTCCAGGGTACTGTAATGGAAAAAAATAAAAATAAAAAATAACTCTAGATATTTATATCTCAAAATAGCAACAATGTCCATTAAGAAGCACTGAGCACAAGGTTAGGGTAAAGACTGATTGTGGAAGGACTGGTCTTTATTTTTGCAATGGAGGCTCCATAAAGACTCGCTTCAGCACTGGAAAAGAATACTGCAGGTAACATCACATCAAAGTTACATATGAATCTAAAGATTTATGAGTTTTGCACTTTCCCCTCAAATTTCAGCATGCCTAGAGTTAAGGCAAATCAGGTCCTCAGAGACAGAATGCACATTTTATTAGAATCAGATGTTTTTAAAAGAATGGGCACCATATATAAATCTTTCTTGAGAAAGGTCATAAAATACAGAATCCAAAACACTTCAGCTTGACCTGTCCCATTTTTTTACCCTGTAAGTAAGGGAAAAGATGAAAGAGGAGATACAGCATGTGAATCCTAAAGTTTCCCTACTGATGTTGTCTCACTTTTAAGTATATGGATATTTTTCAAAACAGCAGAGGAAGTGTGTTGCCATAAGGGAATTCCAAGCATCTCAATGCTTTTTGCTGTCTAGGAGGAAACAAAAACAAATAAAAAAACCCACTCTCCTCTGCTCTAAGGCCCAAGGGAATCTTTTCACAGGGAGGTCACATTTATACCCAAGGGAATCTGTTCACAGGGAGGTCACATCTTTTGGGGACTTCTCTCAAGCTGCACAGTCAGCACTGTTACCACCTCCTGGCATACAGAAAAGCATTAAACAACTCTCCAGCTCCAGCCATCATACTGCAAAGATGGCTCCTAACAGCCCATACAGCGACCTGGACGGAGTACAAGTTTCACCCTACCTTTGGAAACTTCCAGGAACCCTAAGCTATTCAATGCTAAACTAATATTCCAGCTCACTGCCCACCAATTAGGTCATCTGCTGTGGAACTGCGCTCTGTAAACACAACCTGCAGCTTACTGAAAGGTGAATGCTGAAGGACAAGGCAAAAATTAACCCAGCTGTCACTCTCAGGACTTCACTGCTCCTTTTATCTTCAGAGACAGGGCTTGGTTAACAGCACTGTGGGGTACAGCATTGTGAACTACAATGAAAAGCAACGCAGGAGTTAATTCAGTTTGCTGGGGGAACAAAGTAAGAAGTTACCCATAGAAGAAAAGATGTTTCCTCCAACACTCAGCGAGCGCCTCCTTCCAGCAGAGTCCTGTCAGCAACCTGGCCACTGGAAATGAAAAGAAGCCCTTCTGAGGGTAGAAGCCTACCAAGCCCTCCCTCACCACAGCATGCAGCCTGGCAACTGGAAGGACTGCAAAACTATCAGCTAGTTTAAGAACTGTGGAATCTGAAACTGCAGTCACTGCACTCAGCATGTGGCAGTGACACACCTGGCACAGCTTCCTACCACATTCCAAATCAGAGTCACCTACAGGAAGGTTCACCTTCAATAGGCTAATCTGCACTAGCCACCTACACAGCCCAGCACGTTCACCAGTCACTTCTGCAGGACACAGCAACAAAATACTCTTTGCAGGTAGTAATTCATTCACCAGGCATCAATGTCACTGCGAGAGACTTCGGGGAGCCAGATTTTTCCTCTACATAACGCACCTCGTGTACCTTGCTGGTTTAGGATATATGGCCACCTATCAAAAACAGCGTCAGTGAGGCAGACTGCAGCTTCTCACCAATCAGCAGAACTGCTTGAACATGCAGACACATCATGTTTTCAAGCCCTAAAGGATTTAATGACTACAGTTCGGCAAGCGTATGTACAGATCTGACTTATTTCAGCCTACAGCTCTAATGATATCTGTAGAGGGGCAGAAGGATCCGCATTTGTATCATATACATTGTATATCCAAATGCAGACATATCTGCACACATAAAACGGATTTGCATCGTATGTATCCCTGACTTGACAGACAAACGTAAGACAGCAGTACTTGAAACAAACAGGTAATCTCCTAAAACAAACAAACAAATCAAATTTAAACGATGTAAAAATAAACCTCATGAGCTGTTACATGGAAATTACAAGCAACAAAAGGAAATTCACAAACACTTTCCAAACCCAAAACATACTGTGTGCAAACAGAAGAACTTATCTTCAATCACACACCTGGCTACACAGCAAAGGACAAAGAAACAAGAATTACGTGAAATAAAAATACCTTATTCTTACTAGAGTCCATCCCAAAGTCAGAACACCTGTGTTCCACAAACATGTCATATTCATCAAAGCTGCCGGGGTCCAGCAGCAGAAGAATCCGCTCTCTTGCTGTCAGCTTCCCCTGAAATGGAGCACACCGCAGTTAGCACTGCCATTGGGCAGCCCTGGCCCTGCCAGACACCTCTGGGTGCAGTTTAATGAAACGTTCCCTCACCAGATCTTCTGTTTGCCCCACTGAATGCACACCCCCAAAGCTGGGAGCATAGCCAGCGATGAGCCTCCTCAAGAGCAAACACAACACAAGGAGATTCTGAAAGGAAGGCTGACTATCAGAGCTGCACTCCAACAAGATAAGAGACAGCCTCAGTCTTTTTAACAAGATGTAATGTAATGTAATGTAATGGCATCTCAGCTATTTTTGCCTACACGTCTGAATGCTGCTATGCTGTTAAGGCCTTTGGTTCTATTCTTGAAATTGGAACCCTTGCACAGCCAAACCGGCCCATAAGAGCAGCGCAGGGCATTCTGTGGATCTGAGCTTGGCCAGGGAAAGGCCGCACACAGCCTGCAGGGAACTTCTGGCAGGCTTCGCTAGGACCAACGCGGCACCACAGCACGACGGCCGAGAGCGGAGCACACGGGCTGCCCTGCACGCCCCTCCTCGGCAACGATGATGCCAAGAAGTAACCGGTGACGAACAGCTCATTTCGGAGCTCGGCCTTACACAGCTTTCTCTGCAGGCCAGGTCGGCGCCCGCCGGCAGCGCAGGGATCCCGCACAGGGGCGGGCTGCCCTTCTCCTGGGGGCCGCGCCTGAACGCGGCGTTACACACAGCTGAGGCTCTGTGCGGAAGCGACGGGCGAAGTTTTCAGAGACAGGGGAACGCAAGGCAACGTAAGCGGTGCTCGAGGCCTCCAGGTGAGCACAAACCGCTCGAGGCGGCACTCCGCCGGGAGCCCCGAAGCCTGCGGGCGCCGTTCTGAGCAACGGAGATCGGGAAATCCCTCCGACTCAACGACAGCCCGCCCCGCGCTGCGTGAGCCGCCGGCTCGGCGCTGCCCGCTCCACTCCGCTCGCCGCCCGAGCGCTCGGTGCCGCTCAGAGGCGCGCTGCGGCCCGCCGGAGCACCGGGCCAACTTCGTTCCACCTTCGGCGGCGGGCGGAGCGAGCCCGAACGGCGCCTCAGGGGAGCGGCTCTCCTCCCGCCGCCCGCGCCTCACCCGCCTGTGTTGCGCGTCGATACGGCTCTGTCCGCCGCCCAGCAGCGCGGCGCGGCGCTTCTCCTCGATGCGCTGCGGCACAGAGCCGCCCGAGGCGGCGCGGCGTCCCCACGGGGCGGCCCGGCACAGCGCCGCCCGCAGCACGCATTGCGCCGCCATGTCGCGAGGCGGCGGCGGACACTGCGCCTGCGCGCCGCCTCTGGGAGCGAGAGCGGGAGTGCCGCGTCCAGTGCGCCACGGGCTGCTGCGGGTGTGGGGAAGGAGCTGTGTGCGCGCCTCTGCTGTGTGCGCGCCTCTGCTGTGTGCGCGCC